AAAAAAAAAATAAAAAAATAAAAAAGGGTCTATGCAAGGTTGCAAATCTGCCTGGTGGTGCACCAAAGTTCTGGAAATAGCCAGCCTTCCCATCAGATGTAATTTGGGTCAATTTCTTTCCCCATTCACCAGTGGACACCTCTTTTCTTCCTCTCTCCTTCTGGCAGAGATTGCCCCCTGCTGCAGGTGTTGGCTGGTAAGGTTATTGGTGAGGAGGTAGAGGGCTCTCTGCCCTGGATCGTGTCATGGCTCCTGGAAGGAAACAACTACACTGGTCTTCTTCTTCGCCTGGACCCTCAAGGTGGCCTGGGGAAGGGTGTGGGGTTCTTTGGGAAGCTCTGACATCCAACTTATGCCTGACCACCCCTCTCACCAAAACAGCTGCAGCCCCAACCCCAGTCCAGAGATAGCCTCACCTCTGGGAGGGTCAAGATTCAGAAAGGTCCCAGTATGGCTAGGTTGCCAAAGTCTGGAAAGGCAGGGCTGATAGTAAAAGCAAGCCCTCGCCCTTCAGAGGCTTTCAACAGTTAACCAAGAATTTTCACACTAATACATTTTATTCTTACCACAACCCCATGAGACACATCTAACTTAGGGAGGGAGGCCTAATTTATAAATGAGGAAAGGGAGGATCAGAGAAGGGAGAGAACTTGTCTATTTTCATGCACTCATTAAAAATCAGGCCTCTCTGAAATGATATGATGTCAGACACTTAGGGGAGGTCAAGTGGAGGGTATAGATCAAACAAGAATGGCTGTGAGTTGACAATTATTGAAGCTGGGTGATAAGTAGATTGAATTTCCTATACTTTGTACATGTTTGAAATTTTCTACAAAAGTGAAAAGAAAGAAAAAGTCTGGCTCTCTGTATCCAAAAATTAGTAAGCACACATTAATTTGGCTAACATAGTCCCAGACCACACACTGTGCCAGGCCCTGTGGAGTAAGGAAGAAAAATTAGGCCAGTTCATGCCCTTAAGGATAAAGCAGTGAAGGACAAAAGTATGTTTATCCATAGGCAGTTTGGTATCCTGATTAAAGGCACAGGCTTTAATGGCAGACAGAATTGGGCTTAAGTTTTAGCTCTGCCACTCACCAGGGAGTTGCTTGACCTCTCTAAGCTTCATTTGGTTCATCTGGAAAATGTGGGGGTAGGCAGAAAAAATTAGAGTTGCTGCTTCGTTGGAGTGTTGTGTGGATAAAAAGAGGTGATCCACAAAAACTCTTAGCATAGTGCCAAGCCCATGTAAAAGCCTGATAGGCGTTAGCTATTTTTTGTAAGTAGTATTAATAAAAATTACAAGTATTACAGGCAATGTGCTTTGGAGTCCAGAAGGAGTGATTCACTCTGAGTCTCCCCTTATTAGGTGGTTCCCTGAGCTTACTCAGAGCTGCTCTGTTGGGGGCCTCGGGAAGGAGGATGCAGGTGAAACAGGTGAGGCCCACCCAGTGGGATGCAGTAGAAGAGGCACGTGCCCGCCGGGCAAACCTGAAGAGCCTGCGTTCAGGCCTCCTTGGGGACACCCTCACAGAAAGTGGGCTCAGCCAGCTGGGCAGGGCACTGCGAGAGTTGCGGGTAAGCAAGGTGAGGCCTGGAGGTGCCGAAGAGAGTAGCGGTTGGAGCCTACCTTAAACCCTCTCTCCATAGGTGGTAAAAGCCTGGAGCCAGTGCCCAGGAAGCCAGATGCTCAAAGGGGTCAAAGCTGAGGCTGTGGGGCTCCCAGAACTACAGGTATGTTTTCTGGCTCAACCTCTTAGGAGCCCCATTGATGTCTGCCTTCTCTCCTATTTACAGAGCACTATGAGGAGTCCCTTTCTTTGTTCACTAATTTATTGATTTCCAAACATTTTAGTGACTTCTCAGTGTGTCAGGCATAGTGCCACGTAGGCCCTGGGAAACCCCTGTCCTCATGGAATTTTCAATCTTCTGGAGAGAAGCAATTATAACACCATGATCAGTGCTTTGAAGGCCTTACCAACACAGGGTTCAGTGGGGCATCTAAACACTTCACAGGGGATGTTGATTTCTGAAGGAGGTAGCCAGCAAAGATGAGTGAAGAACAAACATTCCAGGCACAGAAAATAACAGGTCAAGTCTCGGAAGTAAGCAGGGGCTTGATCTCTTTGGGGGACTGCAAGCAGGTCATTTTGCTGTGGGATATTTTGAGGAAGAGTCAAGAGAGAATGATTGAAGAGATAAGTAGGGGCCCGGTCATAAAGGGTTTTGCAAATTTATTGAGATGTTTGGACTTTGTCTTGAAGGTCAAGGGGAAGCCATAAAATTACTTTAAGCAGGGAAAACAGTATTGCTCACATTTTTCAGGTCAGCAAACTGAGGCTCAGAGAAGGGATCTGAGTGTCTCAGGGTCACTGAGATAATCAAAGACAGCAGAGGTACAAACACCCAAGTCCTTAGGTTCAAGATGGTGCTTTTGCATCCGTGTAGAATGCATGGCCTCTCCTGTGCAGAAGAGGGTGCTGTCTTCCAGGATTTGCCAAAGGGTGGCTGGAATGCTGCTTCTGTCCACCTTCTCCTGGTCCTACCCTTTTCATACTTACAACTTGTTTTTACAGCCCTGAGCTTCGGGACTTAGGCATGTAAGCTCCCATTTATTGAGCAGCCTCTGCTACTGCTTAGCGCTTTGGGTGTCTTATTTCATGCTCTCTACAACTTTTTTTTAAAAAGGTTTTATTTATTTTTGAGAAGGGGAGGGAAGGGGCAGAAAGAGAGGGAGACACAGATTCTGAAGCAGGCTCCAAGCTCTGAGCTGTCAGCACAGAACGCAACGCAGGGTTCGAACCCAAGAACCATGAGATCATGACCTGAGCCAAAGTCAGACGCTTAACTGACTGAGCCACCCAGGTGCCCCTCTACAACTTTTTTTTTTTTTTAACGTTTATTTATTTTTAAGACAGAGAGAGACAGAGCATCAACGGGGGAGGGTCAGAGAGAGGGAGACACAGAATTTGAAACAAGCTCCAGGCTCTGAGCTGTCAGCACAGAGCCCGACGCGGGGCTCGAACTCACGGACCGTGAGATCATGACCTGAGGTGAAGTCGGCCGCTTAACTGACTGAGCCACCCAGGCGCCCCTCTCTACAACTTTTTAAAAATGTGTTTTGTTTATTTTATTTGTTTTGAGAAAGAGAGAGAGAGAGAGGAAGCAGGGGAGGGACAGAGAAAGAGGGGGAAAGAGGATCTGAAGCAGGCTCTGTGCTGATAGCCGATGCAAGGTTTGAACTCACAAACCGTGAGATCATGACCTGAAATGAAGTTGGGTGCTCAACCAACTGAGCCACCCAGGCACCTCTACAACTTTTATTAGTTCCATTTTACAGGTGAGGAAATGGATTCAAAAGATTAGACACCTGCCTGAGGTTATACAGCTGAGGAAAGGAGGGCCTGAGACTCTGATCTGTCTGATTTCAAAGTCCTGAGCTTAACACGTGCTATCCTAGGAGGAAGGGGATGGAATTCCCATTCTTAATATATTCTCAGCAGGTGATAGATTCAACAGCAAGCCACAGCCCAGGCTTCCAGGGAGAGCCCAAAGGTGGGTTTGGAGCTTGGGGTGGAGCTGGGTGCCCTCCACCTTTGTTGGGCTTAATTGCATTTTCCTCCAGTAGTAGGAGTAACAGCATCTCTAGGACCTGGGCTCCACCAAAAGCATCCTCCTAGGGACTCTCAGGAACAGGTAATACCTCATGTACCCCAGAATAGCTGGAAGCTCTTGGGGGCCTGAAGAGTTGCAGAGCACAGCTAACATGTCTACCACTTCTGTGCCCCAACATCAGGGACAAATTTGGAGCTTCTGACAAAGAGAGGACCTGACAGGCTATGATTCCTAAGAGAGGGGCATGGGAAGGCTGTTTTCCTACTGGGTCACATTAGGAGTATAGGATCCTTAAGGCCTCCATGGCACCTATTGGCAGAGCCAATACCTTTCTCCCATGGCCCCAAGTCTCTGTCCAGGCTATAGGCTCTTACAGGACAGTTAGGTCCCAGACGTAGTTGTAGGAACAGCCCTGGTGGTGGGGTTCTGTTGGAAAGTTGGGCACCGTATCCCGAGGCTGTGGCACACACAGACTTCTGGCTAAGCCTAGACTAATGCCATGTAGGCCTGGCACGCCCCAGATGTGGCCCTGCAGTTCTTCTTGGCCCAGGCACAGAGGAAGAGACTTCAAGAACAGCACCAGATATGGATCCAAGAGGAACTGAAGCGTTTGGAACAGGAGGAGGAAGAGGTGGAAGGTGACCAAGTCAAAGGCCTGGTGGCCGGAAAGGAGGTGAGGAGGGTCAAGTAGGGGACTTGAGGCTTCTTCTAATTGGTTCAGGCATTGTGTTGGGGGCTGGAATCCAGCCTCAGTCACAACAGACTGGGCCATACCCTCTCTCATGGTCCTTATAGCTTTATGGGGGACAGATGTAGCAGTTTTCAGGGCTAAGTGCAGTGATGCAGGAAGCTAGGGGCTTGTGGGGACAAAGAAGAGTGCCTGACTCAGGCAGGAGAGGAGCAAAGATGGCATCTAGGCTGAGACTTGAAAAACAAATCAGCCAGAGGAATTCACTAGACTGAACTCCATGTGGGAAGTTCATACGCATCACGTAGAGGCACTGAATAAATATACTTGTTTGCCCAAATTAGGAAACAAAACTTGTGAGCGTGAGGGGATGGGAGGACACGTTCTGAGGACTATGGTTTATGAGCAAAGGTCCAGAGGGAAGCAATGGCAAAGTAGAGTCTGGGTACTGCAAATTGTCCATCTGGGGGGCCCCAGCAGGTACATGGTCAGAGATGAGGCTAAAGAGACCAGTGTGTGCCATGCCTCTGAATTTGGACTTTACCCTAAGAATGATAGTGAACCACTGAAGGGCATGTGTCATCTCAGTTCTGTCCCTCACTAGCCATGCAAATTTGGGCAGGTTAGGTCACTTCTCTGATTCACAGTTTCCAAATCTAACTTCCAGATTTGGAAAACTAAAATGGCAACTACTTTCCTCCCCTGGGTTTCATTGGCTAAAATGAATGAATACACATGAAGTGTTTAGGAACAAAGCCTGGCACACAGGTGGCACTGAACAAAGAATATGTATTATCACTGAAGGCCTTCGAGAGGCAGAGATGGCACCGGGAGCAGACACTATGGAGACTCCAGCTGGAGGCCCTTCAGGCAGAGCGGGACACTGCAGAGCAGGACCTCATGGCCCTCTATGACGTGCACGTGCAGGCTGCCCGGGCTCGGACATGCCATACACTGCAGGTCAGTGGGGACAGAAGGCAGGCCTTGAATTGGTTCCAAGGCTGACTGACAAGCATCTCTGAATCTGGGCACAGGTATTTCGAGCCTGGCGAGAGCTGTGGGAGGAGCAGACCATGACCACAGAGCATCACCACCGCAGCCTGCTGGCTCGTATCCTGCAAGACATGCTCCAACTGGCCACACAGAACCAGGAGCTTCAAGCCCAGAACCAGCAGCTTCAGCAGGATATAGGCTAGGCTGGGGCCAGTCGTGCTGGATGGCTGCCCTGGGAAGAAGTCTGGTGATCAGTAGTCTTTCAGGGGCAGCCTCTTCTCTCTTCATTCTTCACTGTCCCAGAAGGGAGAGGGAGCTGGGATAACTACGCTAACCTTCACTATGGATAATGAACGATACCACTAACCAGGTCTCGTTGTGTCAGTCCCTGCTAGGTACCTAATATCCACCTCTTCATTTTAGCCTTTTTCACTACCCTATGTAGTAGGTGCCACTTGACCCCCATTTCAGAGGTAAGGCAACTAAAGCTAGGAGAGGTTAAGTAACTGCCCAAGGACAAGTCCGCTAAGTCACAGAGCCAGAATTCAAAGTCAAGCCTGTTAGAACTATAGTTCTACACTGCACATGTGGTGGTTCACAAACTGAAGTGTGCAGCAGAATCACTTAGCTTATTAAAGAAAAAAGATTCCCAAACCCTACTCTCCCAGATTCTTCAGTAGGTCTGCAGTGTGTGTGTGTGTGTGTAAGCTTACTAGGTATGCTCCCATGGGAGCAGGGCCTGATGTTCCTCTGGCCATGAGAAGAGATGGCAGGAAGGAGTATCAGTGAGGGAACCAGAGGAAATAAGAATCAAAACCATATTGAATCCATGAGTTCTCTAGCCTAAAACTTGGTTTGTCCTGCCAGGTCCAGCCAGGACCTTCTATTCCCAAGAGTCCCTCCAAATTCTCCAGGGCCCAGGTTTGTGCTTTAGAGAAATTTGAAAAGTTGTGACAGAACAGTCTCCACTCCATGGAGCCCTCAAAGGAAATAATGCTCCTAGCCATAGATAGAAGTCTTTTCTCCTAGTCTATCAGTTACTCGAGGATTAAGACATTCAGGGCACTAGGGCAACAAAATTATGTTAGAGAGAATCTACGCAACACACAGGACAATCGTAGCCAATTGCAGGAACCACCTGCACCCCAGAATACTTTATTAAGACCTTATTGCTTACAGTTAGAAACAGATTGAACTACACCAAATTTCCCTGTGCCTGGTTCCAGGTCACTCTGTGTAGAGCTTCCCTAATCTGTGTAGATTACTACACTCTGTGTAGAGCTGGGACAGTGCTAGGCAGGGGCAGGACCCAGAGTGAGAAAAATGGTACCTCCTAGGAGTTGTAGAGGGGACAGTGGGCTTTGAGAGGGCCCTTGGGGTGAGCAGAGAGGTCAGGAGTGTAGCCTTAAGCCAGGGCCCAGGGGCAACATTCCCTGAGATGAGTCAAGCTCCAGCCCTCTCTGGGGTCTCCAGAAAAAGGCTGGGTGGGTGTGGAGAGCAGCACTGTGGAGGGAGCAGGGGGCAATGTCCCCAGGTACCGCTGGAGCTAGCGGAGTTTGAAAGAGTAGCCTGGATGACGGGTGTATAATCTGTGGCAATTAGTCTTTCCTGCATTACAGTGGGTGGGGATATCTCCTATGGGGGAGTCATGTACCACAGCTGGGCTGGAGTAGCCAGTACCAGGCCTGGGGGCAATGGGTCTGCTGGGGTGACCACAGGAGGCTAGGAAAGCCAACTGTTGCCCAAACCCACTCAAAGCAACTGTATTCATGCAGGATGAGGTGGAGAGCCTCCTCCACTGGGGATGGGGTCACTTCTAAGGCCTAGGTATTGATGCTCTCCCATTTCCTTATTCTGGAAAAACTTCAGGGCAAACCCAGTCTTCGTTTCCTGGGGTAACCCTTCATCCACCCACCTCCAGAGACTAACCTGGCTACTCCCACTTCCCCAGCTTTTGTCACAAGGCACTTGTTACAGGGCTGGCTGGTGAAGAAGGGTAGGGAGGCCTCGGAGGTGGCTCTGATGGTTGGCGCCCAATCTATAGAGTCAGGAGTCCGGGTGGAGATGGTCAGTGACTAGCGGCTGCCATAGTACAGACGCACAGCCAGGCCAATGAGCAGTGTGGCCAGGAAGAAGGCAGCTGTGAGCTGCAGCCGCAGCAAGGCTGCTGAGAGCACGGCATTGACCACCAGGGAGCAGGACACAACAAAGAGCCGTGTGATGCTGCTGCCATGCTTCATGACAGCTGACATGAGCAGTCCATTTAGTGCCTGGCTCAGTACCACAAGTGCTGCCCAACCAGAGAAACCCTCCAGGAGGCCTGGGCCAGGGCCACCACCTGCGTGCAGACCTAGGTTCAGGAGCACACCAAAAGTGTAGAGGAAGAGGTTCTGAAGTGCTAGGGGCAGCCGCTGTCGCTTCATGAGCAGCTCTGTGTACACGGACGACAGGCCCGAGATGAGGCAGTACAAGATGAGAAGCAGCAGTCCCAGTGGAGTGATATGCAGGGACATGCGGCCAGCAGCAGCTGCTGGAGGGGGCCCAGGAAGGGTGCTTCCAGGGTCTTGGAGGCCACCAGCTGCATAGCAGGCCCCTGCTGCCATCAGCAGCAGCAGTGCCAAGCCCTGGCGTGCAGAGAGGCGGTGCCGGAGACAGAGGCAGTAGAACAGGGCCGTGCTTCCAATCTTGAGATTGCTCAGCACCTGATAGGTGCTGGGGTCCATGTAACGTTGAAGATAGATCACCAGGTTGTTGTTAGCGCCATAGAGAAGGGCTGATAGCGCAAAGGGGGCAGCCTGGCGCCATGGAGGAGCCCCTTGGGGCCATGCTTGCCAGCCCACCAAGAGGGAGAAGGCGCACAACAGTAGCTTGGTCAGCTCAGTCAGCAGCACAGCTGAGGAGGGCCGGAAGGGCACTCTGCCGTTCACATGGCACAGTGCCAGTAATGGGGCATGGGCACCATACATGGCAGTGGACAGGAGTAGCATCAGGGTCCAGCGGGCCTGCCTGGGACGGCCCAGGCCTGGCATACCCCCGTCCTCTACACTCATGCCCAACCCAGACCCTGGGTGGCCTGTGTAGCTAGCCAGGGGACAGCGGGAATTATAACAAGTTTGGGAAAAATCAGAACGGAGCCGGCTCGCAGGAGGGAAGAGCCGTGGTACATTGCTAGAGAGAATACTGAAAATCAGAGTCAGCTGCAAACTCCACAGTCAGGGCTGGAATAGGAAGGGGCCGGTGGCCCTAAAAGCCACAGTCTTGGGGCCAGTCTCATGGGGTTAAGGAGGGGCGTCCAGATTATTGGCTGATAAGCCACTGTTCACCTTTTGCAAGAAGGAGAGCAAGGATGAAGACTGTGGAAAAGTTGAAGACAGCAAAAGGGTGATAGCTGGGGAAGCCAGATATGGTGTCTGTGGTTGAAAGGCCTCTACCTGCAGGCCCAAGATGCTCATCCTTCCTCCCCCATGGGATCCAGAGCTAGTCGGGCCCCTTGCGCAACGACCGAAGATAGTCCCTCAACGTCTTCTCCACATTAGGCACAGCATATGCCTGAGCTGCGTAGATGCCAGTGCAGGTACCCACAGCAAAGCCCAATACTGCTGATGCCCTCAGTTTGGCCACCACATAGCCGGCTAAGAAGCCCTTGAGGAATGGGGAGGACAAGAGCGAGCCATCCTGTGGAGAAAAATGAAGGAAACTCAGCCAGGGTCTCCATTCTCTACCCAAGAGCTACTGGCCTTAGATCATCCCACGACCTCTGCCTTACTCTGGAAAGCTGCAGTATTCTCTCCAAAGATTTTCTCAAGATTCTGGAGGCAGAAAAAGAACCTAGAAGTCCTGATCACACAATCTCAGAATGCTGGGGTTAGAAGGCTCCAACCACAGAACCCTACCACCACAAAGCTACAGAGGTGTCCCTGAGGAATCTGACCCCTGCCTGCTTCTCCAACCTCACTTCCTAGCATGCTCCCCCATTACTGGAGCCAAATTAAACTACTTTCATCCCCCCTCTTCATCATGCTACTTCCCACCATAAGAGCTTTGTATATGTTGTTCCATCTGCCTGAAATGATCTCTCCTCCCCTCTTTACCTAGTTACCTTCTATTTAAGATACCAGTTCAAATATCATTTTCTTACAGAAACTTTCCTTGGGGTCACAGAAAACAGGCCATCAATAACCATTTGCTGAGTAAGTCTCTATCACCCATTCAAAAGCATATTGGGCAATGAAGCCCAAGGCCAGGGGGGAAGAGGGGGAAGGAGTGGTGGGCAGGTGCAGCTTTACCTGGCCCACACCACTGTTGACTTCGTCTTCCACACGCTGCTGCAGGCGTTCCAACTGGTTCTTGAGAAATGCCAGGTCCTTAAGCTTAGGCAGAGAATCCTAGAACAAGAAAGAATCCAACAAGTTAACCCAGCCCAATTCTCTGCTGAGGTCTGTCAGAGGCTGGGTGTTTTAAAAAAAAAACAAAAAAACCCAAAACTTCCTGAGATGATGGTGGTAAAGGAAGAAAGGCACTGACAAGTAAAGAATTCACATGGGGACCGGGGAGGGGGGTGACAGATGGGATCTGCATCTATAACAACCCTTACAGAATTTCATAAAGTAAGCAGTGTGTAGGGAGACAAGAGGAACAGCTAGGAGACATTTAATTAGATTTACCAGGCAAGCTCTACTGACTCGGCTATTAATAGCAACATGTCTGTCTTGTCTACCGGGTCCTCAGGCCTCACACAGGGACTGGTAAGTAGTTAATAAATATGAGGGTGAATGTCGCTGAACTTCCAGACCAGTGGTGAGTAACAGCCTGAGGCAGTTCCCTGGACGCTGTAGGGTAAATCTGATTTCTGCTTGGGCTTCTGTCAAACCGAACGTGTGACTGGATGCGCTGGCTGGAGTTGGGGTGGGTGGCTGTCTGCAGGAGTGGGTGAATGCACTGGGTGGCTTAGATCAAATAGAAATATGAAATTCAATGTATGCCCAAGGGAATCTGAATGAGAATGTGAGTGTCCGTGTGGCTTGGAATCATCATGTCCATAGGAGAGAAATTTCGGGGGCCAGGGAATGCAAGAGAGTGAAAAGTGTGTCAGAGCGAATGTGTTTGAATGTCTGCTGGTAATTAAGGATAACGAGGGTCCCAAGAGAGGACACCTGGGAGATGCCCGGCTTTGCTTGCCTCGTGTGGTGCTCCGCTACTCCACTTCCCAATGTTGAGTCAGTCGAAAACAGTAAAACCTCGCCTAGAGGAAATAAGGGCATCCCCACGCAAGAGAGGCTCCAGTGTCGCCTCTCCCAAGGACTAAAACGGTGTGAAGACCACCCCACACTGAAGATAATCCTTACATTCACTCACCTTGTCATCCGCCATCTTCCCCGCCGAACTTGTTGCGCAGGCGCGGCCCCGCCTCCCTCATGCAAAGTACTACAGCCATCTTTACTGAGGGCGGAGGCACTTCCGGGGCATTTTTGGAAAGGGTGGAGGAGGTGCTTTCCTGGCCGCAGAGCCCTGGCGGTCGCTTGCTCTCAGGTATTGGCACGTGACTCCTCCGTCACGACCCTAACTGCGTGTCCGCGCGCGCACACGACCTGGGCGCAATGATCTCACTCCTTCGCGTGTGCGCGCTGCGCAAGTTCTTGTAACAAGTCGTCCATCCCTCGATGAGCTCATAGTTGCGCGGTGATGTCACTGGGGGCGTTGGCGTCGTGCGCCTTCCCCGGCTCCACGCACTGGAACGCACACTCGGGGATCCAGACGTCTGTTTACGCGCGCCACCCCTCGGCGGGCGGCGCTGCTCAGGCCCGTCCTTTCCCGCCCCTGGGACCCGGCTCCAATCCCACCCCGTATCTGTGCGGCGCCTGTTGGCCTGGTCAGCGCAGGGAGGCTGGGCTTGCGCGCGCCGCAGCTTCGGAGGTCGAGCTGGGCTGAGATTGCCGGCCGGCAGAGGCCGGCGGGGACGCGGTCGGGGCTATGCTGGGCAAGGATTACATGCTGGCCATCATTCTGGTCAACTGTGATGGTGTGCACGGGGTCCCGATGGGAGGATCGGGAGCTGAGGGGTAACGAGGGAGTTGACGGGGTATGTTTCGGGGTGAGGACCACGGGACAAATGAATCCTGGATTTTTGTGCTGCAAAAGACCTCCTGTACCTCCAGCCTAAGGATTGCCACCTTTGAGATGGAAGGAGGGTTCTGACCGTGTTATTCTGAATCCACTAATACGCCTTTCCAATTCCGTGTTTCCTCTCCCCGTTTGGTGTCTTGTAGATGACTTGTGGGGGGACCAGAATCTTGAGGGAGAACCAGGCCTGCCCCCTGGCTGGAGGAAGATACGCGATGCTGCAGGTACTTACTATTGGCACGTACCCAGTGGCAGCACCCAGTGGCAGCGCCCAACCTGGGAGACAGGAGATGCAGAGGACCTAGGCACGGTAGGTGGAGTGTGTTGGAGGGGGTCTGAACCCATGTGCGGATCTAAGCCTGCTGCTATACCGACCTAGCCCCCTCTCTACAGAGGACGGAAGGGATTTGGGGACTTCGGCCCCCCAAGGGGAGATCCTTCTCCAGCCTGGAGAGCTCACTGGACCGGAGGTAACAGGGATAGGCCAGGCAGAATGAAAGGCTTGGGGTTTCATGGCACTCAGAGATGCAACTGGACCCACATTCTGCATTCAAGCCCAGGTTCTTGGCTCTTTCCCATTTCTTGAGTCTCAATAGTTTGAATTTTGTCCCTAGTTCTGTGCTCTGTATTTTGCTACATGTTTTTCCCTATTCTGGGTACTGACAAATCATGTTCTACATCTTGGCCCTTTCCGGAGGGGGGAGGGTTCCTGACTTGTGTTCTGGAGTCTCTTGTCTCAATTTGGGGTTCTGGTCCACATTTTGTATCCTGTTACTTATTTGTAACTTTTGTTCTATGTCCAGTATCCTGAATTTTTGCTCAGATTTTAAGCCACACTCTATGTTACATTTAATTAATATGTACTGGGCCCTCTCCCACTCTGGTTTTATACCTCAAGTATAAAACACACTGTGTTCTGCACACTGTGTTCTGGGTCTTATCCCACATCTCATGCCCATCAAGTAGTTGGAGCCTCACCACTGTCCCTTCTGTAGGAGGTGTGGTCACCTTATGAGCTCTGTTCTGTTCCAGGAACTCTTTGTCCTGGTACGGTGAGGAATCCTACATCCAGAGCATGGAGCCAGGAGCTAAGGTAGTGTCTTGGGCCTGAGAGCCAGCCCAGGAAATGGTGGTGGCGGTGGTGGATTGTTCCCAGGGAAAGGTCAGGAGTGGTATTGGGCTGAGAAGAGGTGATCAAAGGTGAAGGGAGCAGGTACCAGAAGGTTTATATGTGTGGAACCTGTGATACCTCCCATCCTATTCCACCTTCTATTCCACTTCCACGTCTGCCTCTACTCACTCAGGATCTTCCTGTCCTTTCCCCCAACCCATCAGTGCTTTGCAGTCCGCTCCCTGGGTTGGGTAGAAGTACCCGAAGAGGATCTGGTACCAGGGAAGAGCAGTATTGCAGTCAATAACTGCATCCAGCAACTGGCCCAGACTCACAGCCGTAGCCGCAGCCAGCCCCCAGATGGTGCCTGGGGTGAGGTGAGCTGGCTGGCCCTTCAAGGGATTCAGCCCAGGGCCCAGCAGAGGTAGTTGTCGCCAAATTGCCTGTTCTCCATGGCAACCACCTTCATCTGAGCTCCAGACTGACCTTTCTTTGGCAGGGCCAGAACATGCTGATGATCCTGAAGAAGGATGCCATGAGCCTGGTGAATCCTCTGGACCATAGTCTGATACACTGCCAGCCTCTGGTGCACATCCGTGTGTGGGGTGTGGGCAGCTCCAAGGGCCGGTGAGGACCCCTACATCCCCCCAAGTGAGAGTTGCTCCTCCCTCCCTCCTGCAGGCTGTGATCCCCACTGATGCTGATCCTCTGTACTTGAACCCCTGGACACAGATCCTCTGACATGGACCCAAGCTCTGCCTCCCCTGCCTGGTCCAGCCCTGGTTGGGGAGGGTGGGCCCAGCTCAGCAGGGACGGATAGGGGAGAGCCTGAGAGACTGGGCTGATTCTCTCCTGTGCTCCCACATGCTTCCGGAACAGTGACAGGTGAGCGACAACCTGGTGCTTTGAGCCCCAACCCTGATCTCCCTGTTCCCTCCCCACCGTATCCCTTGCCTGACTTTCCAGTCTGCTGCTGGCACTACAGGCCCCTGTGCCTACCCAGCCTCTACCCTACCTTGGTCACTGCCCCTGCCCCAGCCCCATCTCTGCCCCTGCCAGGGACTTCGCTTTTGTGGCTGGTGACAAAGACAGTTGTATGCTCAAGTGCCATGTGTTTCGCTGTGACGTCCCTGCCAAGGCCATTGCCAGTGCCCTGCATGGGCTCTGTGCCCAGGTAAGGGCCAAGAGTGGGGCAGGAAATGTGGGTAAGGAGCTGGGTCTGAAACTTCCAAGGTGGTTGGGTCAGGGAGGTATTGGCTCCCTTACTTCAGTTCCCCTTTCGCTGTATCTCATGCTAGTTGCATTGTGTTTCAGATCTTGTCAGAGCGAGTAGGTGTCAGTGAGGATTCTCCTTGCTCCCTAGACCCCATCTCCCCTGAGGACCTGCCACGGCAAGGTATGGGGAGGGAGGTGCTGCACTGCAGCAACAGGCTACTTTGGTGAAAGTTGGCGTTGTTTAGTCCTGGTTGTTTAGTACTTCTTGGAGATGTGGGACTTCTGATGTGTGCAGGCATCCTAAGCTCTGAATTGGAAGAGCAAGCTTTATGGTTTTCCTTCTACTAGCTCCAGTTCTCTGAAGGGCGGAGAAAGGGGTCATTGAGAGAATGCCCAGGCCCACTTGCTATGTGTATGTTTCAGTGGAGCTGCTGGATGCGGTGAGCCAGGCTGCTCAGAAGTATGAGGCACTGTACATGGGGACCCTGCCAGTCACCAAAGCCATGGGTGAGGACTGAGCTGGCTGAGGGGGTAGGCCGTAGGAGGTGAGGGAGAGGGGGTAGGGAACGATCTACCACCATTTCTCAGACTACACCCATGGCCCCTGTCTGGCCTAGAATGTGCCACCCTTCCCAACTCAGGATTCTAAGCCCAGCCCCAGCTATTCTAATGCCATCTCTCTGAATCCCAAGTCAGTGAGATGGAGTAGACTCTCCCTGCAGATCCCTTCTTTCTTTATGTCTGGGAGACACCATGGTGGGCATGTCCCCCCAGGCATGGACGTGCTGAATGAGGCCATTGGTACTCTCACCAACCGGGGGGACCAGGATGCCTGGGTCCCTGCCATCCTCAGCGTGTCTGACTCTCTCATGACTGCACATCCCATTCAGGTACCAGAAGAAGGTGAAGTTGGGGGCTGTGGAGGGGTGGGAGGGATGCTGAAGGGTAATTGCTTGCTGTTGGGAAAGGTCAGTGAGTCCAGCCAGTGCCTGGTCCTCAACTGACTAGGCCTGGTGTGGGCAGGCAGAAGCTGGTGCAGAGGAGGAACCACTATGGCAGTGCCCTGTGCGCCTTGTGACCTTTATTGGTGTTGGCCGTGACCCACACACCTTTGGCCTCATCGCTGACCTGGGCCATCAGAGCTTTCAGTGTGCAGCCTTCTGGTGCCAGCCCCATGCAGGGGGGCTTTCCGAAGCTGTGCAGGCTGCTTGCATGGTGAGTCAGGGGCAGAAACGGGTGAGTGGGTTTGCCCTGCAGCTGCTGTACTGGTGATGGGCTCAGGACTGGCAGTTTCTCCAGAAATCACAAACCAGTGATCCCAGGGCTGACCATGGTAAACTACCCTTTTATTTTGCCCACAGGTTGTCTTTAATAAGTTTAAATTAGTTGCCAATAGTTAGAGCCAGGACATTTCATGTAATAATTGTTCTGGTACTGGGTCCACACATATAAATTTCAACATTCAGCTCTAATCATGTAGGGGCTGATCCTGGTAGGGTGGGCACTGTTTTTCCTGTTTGTCTCATTTAGGTTATTTCCTGGCATCTGTGGGCATTCAAGTGTGGGATGCCTGCACTTTATGAGTTCAGCTCACTCTTTCTTCAATAAATACAAGTGCCTACAGGGTACCAGGAAGCATACTTTGACTTTGACTGATATAGATGAAACAGTCTTTGCCCTCACAGAACACTTAGGTTAGACCAGAGACAGACCAGAAGGGGGTTGTATGCCACAGGATGTTGGGGCTGGCCGCTTAAGGGGCTCAGGAAGGGTACCTGAAGGAGGTGATAGAAAGCTGACAGTTGAAGGTCTTAGGAGGAAGTTAGGCGAAGGGGAGTGGGACAGGTGTGCCAGATACAAGGAACCCCAGCTGTGAAGATGAGAGCAGTAGTTGTGGGTCAGGATATTTCAAAGAATCGAGTATATCTGGAGTTCAAAGGGCAGAGGAGAAAAGAGAGATGGGGGCAGGAAGAACAGTAGACACCGTGTCATGGAAGAACTTAGAGAATGTGGTGATGAGTTTATTTTGTCTCCAGTCACTTTGAGCC